GAAAGAGGCCGTCTGACTGCGCAAACAACACATATAATTGTCTCCAGCATGCAAAGTTCCACAGTTTGGTCAGTCGCTTCTCCATATACTTTTTCAGAAAAGGGTCTTGCGGAAACGGATGAAAACAAAGTGAAACAAAGCTCCCTCAGTGCCAGGGTCCCGGCATTATTGATGGTAACCGCTGTTGTGGTGGTCGTGGTCGTGGTGTAGGTCACGGCCTCTAGAATTCAGCAATTAACGCAGATTCTGGTCCCATTCTATCGTGCCACAGCACGCAGTAAGATTTTTGGGGCCGACACAAGGAGTTATTGTGATTCTGAAGGTAGACAAGATACTCTACGCACGCCGTGATACCCACGACCTTAAGCTTACAGTCCTAACTCTGCGGCTTGAAGGACTTGCAAATCCAAATCCCTATATCTGCGCTATCCAAAAGCAAATCCTTGTGCAACACATTCCGTGACTCAACATGTAGAGCCCCGTCAGAAAGCAGCCAAGAAATTCCTGTCCCGATTCTACCTGAAAGCCTTTCTTGAAGCCATGACAAAACTGTATTGAATCCGCAAACTTCGAATCTCCTCTGGCATAATTAAAAAAATTCCCGTCACGCGTTGTACATAAAGCTCAGCACTAGCTACAAAAGCAACCACAACCTGAGATCCAAAACCCCACATCTAGTTCCTGATGGGTCTTTACTAACACTGTAAGTAACCATCCTGTACTCCGTTCTGTTTACGTAGCTTGAATGTAACGACCTAACGATTGGGTCCCGGCATGACCCGCAGCCGCAGCATGACCCGCAAGGAGAGCAGAAACCTTTTCCGAGAGCCATCGGGGCTGTCGAGTGTAGAGTGTACGATTGCTGGGGTGTGGCCCAAGTAGGCTCGAAGACGCTTACAATTCAGGAATTAGGTTGAAGGGTGGGGGTTTTTACTGCTCGTAGAGTGGGGAACTTAGGGCTAAAGACCCAAAAGCAGAGTGAGTCTCGAATAGAGAATAAGAAAAAGCACAGGGAACGGTACAACTAAAGGCCTCGAAAAAAAGGCCTAAGCCTCTGAGCACATCGGCCCCTGAAATTCAGCACTGCAGCATGACTTGCCGCCTCGGGGTGGGTTCGTGGACAGGGGGGGAGGGTCATCTCAGAATATCTTGCAAGCCCGCTCAAAGCAGGCACGCTTAAGATGTCGTAGGATTGTGACTGAAAGTCTAAGTGTGACTCTTTCTCGGAACATGCTTCTTCTAATAGCTGCAGCAGGGGATACTTGCTCCTGAGGTTTGATGATGCAAGTCTTTTTCAGACCCCTTCTCAAATCTACCAAGACCCTCCCTCAACTTTACTACTTTCCGACTTTCCTACACTGCCGCACCTCTACGTTCTGCGGCGTGGCCACGGCCAAAGGCCCTGGGGCTCCTGGGCCGCCTGAGGGCCCGGAGGGCCCCGCAGGAGGCGCTGCAGAAGGTGAGCTTGGGACGACCTGCGCCACCTGACCTGGCGGGGCAACGCAAGGTTTTAAGGGCTATAGGGTTTAGGCATTTAGGGTGGGGGCTTGGGGTTCAGGCTTAAGGACTTGATTGGAAGTTTAGGATTGTAATTACTCGGCTTTACGTAGCAAAACTGGCCTTTTTCTGAAGCGCATGCAAAAACAGAATGCTTGTCCAGAGCTATCCCTACACTGCTGCATTCATCCTTTGCTGGATGTAAGTATCAAAGCTAGGCCTTTGGAATTGGATCCTGGGCTTGTTCACGCCCGGGTCTTACCAGGGTAGCGTAGGAGCATGTTGCCACTCTTATTCCCCTACAATTTTCATCCCACCATGACGAATCCCGAAAGCCCACAAAACAATTTCTGCCTCTACATGAGCTTACAAAAATCAAGGATGCACAGCTGTATACCCTGCGCAGGGGTCACTAGTGCTGTTCCTGACACGAGCAGCCCAGATGCATACACCTGGCTAAAAACCTCCAACATAGGAGCTATAGTCTAAACTCCTAGTATCCCCCTCAGTAACCCTTATAGTAGTCCCCTAAATAATTCCCTACATAACACCCCTAAAGGAGTATATATGCTCATATTGACAATGTGTAGGGCGTGTTTCACACTAAGGAAGGAAAGCAGCGAAGTCGGGCTACAGTGGCGGCTACGTACTGAAGTACAATCCTGTAATCACGGCCGCGAACACGAGCAGCAGGTTTCTTAAAATTAGGGGCTCCAGCATAGCTGAGATTCCCACTGTCTGCTAAAGCAAGGGACATCAACAACTTTGGGACGCACAGCTCTTGCTGTTTTCCGTGTGGGAGACATTATCTGCAGGCAGCCACACTTCGCCGCGGGCGCGCCCCCGGTACTTGATGAGATCGTCCAGTACGTCCTGCTTCTCACAGTATGGCTCAGGATTTGCAAATCAAGGGGTGAGCACTCTGATCTTGGCCCCCTGAATTTACGCACAACTCGAGAAATCCGAGATCTTAGGAATGTACCCAATGGAGATCATGCGGGGCTATGAGCTTAGGATAAGCGAAGCAGAGCGCAACGGACTTGTACATGCGTTCGTGATTCTTGGAGAGAAAGTAGCTGCGGCAGCGAAAGCCTGAGACAGTATTCAGTATGAAGCCCAAATCCCACGCAAAACAATACCTGACATCGCAGGTGAGCAGGTCTAATATGGTAGTCTGGTCCATGAAGCAAAGGCCGCTCCAAAAGGACATCCCGCATTTTCCCCCACCAATATTCCCAGGTCACCCTATGCACTGACCGGCAACTTGAACAAACGTAACGTAAACCTCAAGTGTAAGATGCCCTCATGCAAGCTCGATTGCCTGTCTTGGCTGTTATTGCCAATGCTGCCCGGTGTACTGACTTCCGTGCCGGATGCTCCGGAAAAGAAGTTGATTGCAAGTTGGAGCTGCAGTTCAGAAGTGACAACGCCTGAAATCCTGCACTCAGGGATGAGTTCAAGTCCTACAAGGGTATCAAGTGCTAACATCACCCCAAACCGCGGCCCCATTGCCGCAGTCTCACCATGCTGCCCGTCTGAGTTGTTGATAACTCATCGGAAGTACCCAACATCCCGAAACATCCCAAATGACCCTCAGCACCAACCCACGGTGCACACCACCTAAGAAACCAGGTCCAGAACCCGGCTGTCGTAGTGCCTGAATCACAGGGGTGCTCCTTGTATTTTGGAGGCATGCGGGAACCTACACGTGTTGTGTTCACATGACAAGCACTTCACGATAACTTTAAGCGGAGTAACTTGAACTCAGGGATCAATGATCTGCATATTGGCTGTAGCCTGCTTGCGGCACAACGCCTTGAAATGACTTGAGCTTCCTGACATGTACCTGCAGCTGTTGCGCATGGCACTAGACGTATCATTACGGAAACCCTGGCCGGAGCTCAAGCGCAGAAAATATCTAGGCATAGCTGCCCATACGTCGAATTGCAAAGTACACTACTGAACAACAACCTGCAGAGCTGTAACCGCAGACGGTTTATCGGCGTTGCAGGATCCTACTTGATGTACTCGCCGGCAACAATCTTTTGTGCACCCAATATTGTACGAGCACGGCTTGCCCCATGTGGACCCCTGATCTGGTGCTCAAAGGATATGTTTCACCGAAATTTGGGCCTAATTCGCAAGGGCGGTAGGCGGTTAAATTGGGCCGCTGTGCTTCGCCTGCGTCCACTTTTCAAAGGAAACACTATCTGAGTTCGAACCTTTAGCCTTATCTTCTTAAATTGTAACATCGCACATGCCGGAAAGCAGAATGCAGCTGCGAGCTTCGCAATCTGAAGTTCACAAATCAACACATGCCGCAAAAATCGGGTCCAACACAGGGCCAGCATGTCTGGCGCCATTACTCCATCCGGTGTCTTGAAAGTGAAAATGTGATATTCAACATCATCATACATCAGCCACACAACATGCCAGAATACAGCATACCAGCCAGCTCGGCTACCAACTCACCGAGCACCGGCGAGTTTCTGCACAAAAAGGACAGTGAGCAGCTCTCCAGTTGGTGACACGATCTGTGCTCAAATGGGTAGGTTGTAGGGGAATTAGGGGGCAAACAGAAGGGACCCCCCGATGGGTTGACCCCCAAAATACCTTGGACGAAACTTGTGAACCCCAAAGCACAAAACGAACCTTGGCGAAGGGAGTTGACTTGGACGAGGGGAAGAAGAAGGTTTACGAGGCTGGACCTTCGGACCGTGATGTTCTTCAACTCCCGCCTCTTATCTTGCACCCAAAGGAGCTGACGGACCGCAACCCCAATCAAGCCTAGACGGAGGGGGCCAAGTTTTGACAAAGGGACGAGGGATAGACAAAGGCTAGGGGCCGGGACGACCCTTGTCCAGGGTTCACGCCTTGGTCGTTATAAGCTCTTTTCCTTCAGCGTCCCTTTCGCGGCTGCGCGTTTGGTGGGGGGGGCGCGGTGATCCTACCTGAAAAAGTTACGACAGTTGCTGACTCGAATTTGCCAGCTGTATACATGAATACATGGGGACGTCACTTGAGATGCCAAGTTCTGAAGCTTATAAAATCTTATTAAACCTACTTCGAAGCCCGTGAATAAAGAGCCCAGGAAGAAGCAGCACATGATTTGGGCCTGTTGCTTGCGGTTGCCCAAGCCGAGGACTTGGACATTCCGCCCTAGAATTTCCATCAGCATCTCACATAGAATCAAAGGAGGTGGCTACCGCATGCTTTTCATTGCGTTCAAAATTCCGCTTGTTAGCATGGGCCGTCCGGCAAAAACCGCGTAAGCAGATGCACATCCCTCTGCTACATTCCGCTGACAGCGAATAGTTCGCGAATGTAGCTTTCTAGAATCTCGGCCATAATGCCAATATAACTTCTGCTCAGTCAAATGTGCATATTCACAATGTACCCTGAATCGTATGCAGCGGGCCCATTTCGGCAAAGCGTCCGCGCACCAAGCTTCTGACTCGACACCCCTAAGCCTTACCAAGTTTCTACTCGACACCCCTAAGCCTTCAAACACATGGAGGCCGCACGATAAAGGCTTCGGTGAGCTTCTGCATCTCCTACTACCAAGATAAAAAAAAGACTATTGAGCATCCATTTTCTATTATCCCTATATAATATATGAGACAAAGACTTCTATACTAATGATATCCTTATATAATCCCAATATACTACAGTACTACCAAGCGGAACAAGAGTGAGCGCCTTCCTGACACAGCCTATACGTTGCAATGGCAAGTTACTGCTGTGGACGGTGGGAGACCAAGGGAAGTTTGCTCGACGTGGGGCCGCACCCATGCCAGGATATATACATGTGTTCCATATATATATATATAATACATATGTACATCTACTGGAGTTATTAAAAATGTGCGGAGTACAGTAATCTCGACATCATATGTAGAGGTCGTCTTGAACAGCCGCGCACCAGCAGAGTTCAAGGTCCAGCTGGAACGGAACAAGACAACTGGGCCCAAGTTAGTTGGCCCTAAACTACTACTATTATTGCTATCATTGTTGGTACTGTTATTACTATTATTGCTTGCTACCACCATTGTTCATCCTACTAATACTACTGGGATAACAGCTGGATGCCTCGAATCATTTATACATTCAACCCTAGTGATGGGCCGCGGCTACTGAACTAAGACTCCTTTACGAATTCTAGTAAAAAGGAAGCATTATTACTCGCAGTGTAGCCATGTTATGGCAACTTGATTTAAACACCCTACCAGCAACCGACCCTGTTATTGCTGAAAGCTGCCTTTCTCAAATGGGTGCGTTAATGGATTGGAGGAGCCAAGTGAGCTATAGTGTAGACTCCTAGTATCCCCATAAATAACCCCTACGATGCTCCCGTATATAATCCCATATATAACCCCCCTTCAAGGAGTTTTGAGTATAGCTCCCATGTGATGGACTCGATTGGATGCTGCCCTGCTGGTCTGCAATTCAATGGCCAACTATCTACTCAGGCTTGGAGGGAGGAGGGACTTACTCAGTAGGTTCATAAGGGGAATAATTGGGGCTACTATATGGGTTATAGGTGTTATAAGTATACTTACTAAGTCCTCCTAAACTCCCAAGTATGCCCTCACTTCGTAATCTTGCACCGCAAGCTGGGACCCCAAAAGGCCAATACTGCATGCTTGCTGTAATCCTTCCAAGCGCTGTGACCCATGAGGTAGCTCAGTTTTGCGGGTTAGTACTGGTACTTTAACTACGCACAGACGCTCTAAGTTGAGTCATACCATGTCGAAACACACCTGGGATGAACCCCTCCCGATGCCACATTAGCCACTTCAGAACGCCTGAACCTTTTTCTTGGACCAATCAGCACATTCCGCGACAGAATCTGGCACGCGCATTCGCGCTTTGTGTGAGGCGTGGGCTTCCTTATTGCACTGTTCTTCATGGCCTGTCCCGAGCTGTTTTTGGAAGTCACTCTCCCTCGGGCCTTTATCTCACGAGCCGAGCACATTGAGAGCGAAGCTTCTCAAAACACTCCCTACATAATCCTTCAGAAGACCCTTCAACTCTCCCTCTACAGCAGGGTCGCTATGGTGCCCCTTGAGATCGCAAACCTTAAACCCTGAACCCGACAAATCCTCTATAACGCCTTTATGATGACCTAGGCTCTCTCATTTGAGGAGCACCCGCACATCGTTTCCATTCCTTGTGTTGCCGAGGGGCAAGTGGTGAGTAGGCTTCCATGCCTTCAAGGTGCTTCCGCCTGCAAAGGGGCTTAGAGTTTGGGGCAGGAATTTGGCAAACCTCCCTAAGATGACAAGGTCTTCTAGGCTCTGTATAGATCGCATCTATGCAAACTCGAAGATGGCAGCGAAGCTCGATTTTTGATGCGGCTGCTGCTGCTGCCGCCACGTCGGGTATTCTATGGGTGATACTCGTAAAATGTCACAAATAAGCGGATAGCATCTACCGGCAAACTGGTATATCTCAAGCTGGGCATCGGGACCCACAAACGGGTTTCCCAAAACTAGGGTCCTCTGTGGGGGAAACCCTGTAATACTCTATACCATGCGGCCTGAGCCGATTTTGTTTGCAGCCAAGTAGCTTCGACTTTGCTCCGCGGACAACAGGCCTTTGTGGACTTGGTCTATGTCGTTGAAGGTTTATTGTTCACGGGTTTTAGGGTTTGATTTAGGGTCTAGGATTTGTGATTTATGGCTTAGTGACAGTGTTGAAAGTTTTGGGGTTGACGCTGGCTTTGGGCCTTGTAGGATGTAGAGTAGGCTAGATGATGTGGGGTTTGCAGTCTGCGCTTCACAGGTTAAGATTTGGATTGAGGCTCTTGGCTTACAAGGGTTTGTGTCACTGTTGATAGCTGTCCCATACTTATGAGGCAGCAGCAACAGAATCAAACTTTGCTCCGATTCCTATTCGATCCAAATGTGGGGGCTTATGCGAACTGCATGCCCCTTCGGAGCCTCAGGATAGAAGGGTTGTGGGGGGTCGCCTTTGTGAGGAATACATGGGTGGGCTCATTTTGCAAAACTCCAAATATGTCCCCGCTCAAGAAGGCAGACACTGCACGACTGTTCCCATTCGAGGGACCCTTCTGGCAATTAGGAGTGCCTTTGGGGTCCCGTTAATTGCGAGTATAGTGCTTTGGATGAATAAAGGGGACCCCTACTTGTGGAAACTACCATTTACTTGTCACGCGCGCTGCTCTGAAGCATCACCGTAAACCTTAAAAGAACAACTTTCTTTGGCGGTCTAGAACAGACTTCTGGAACAGCGCAATGGGATCTTACGCTATTTTGTGGGACTTATGTATGCGAATCTCATATTCTACTTGAACCTGGTATGTCAAGGACAGCCCCAATTTGGGGCATTCATCCAGCCTTTCGCCCAGCACCTGTCTTTCCCCAAACCACTGCGAGTATTGTCTTTGAGGCATGAACGTATCTTCTATCATTACTCCTGTGTTATGCTAGCATCCCCCTCCAGTCATCCAGGCTTCCACCCCAGTCCTTTGAATAGGGGCCAGGCTGGGTTTGCATGCAAGTTTATGAGTCAGTGGACCCTAGAGACTAAAAGCTTCTGTCCCAGCCGCTTCCAAGTGGAAGGGCCGTATATCGGCCCAGGCGGCCGCAAAGCGGCGCGCCACATGCGGCACAGCGCTGCCGAACGACCTGGTACTGCAAGGTTCAGGGGGCCTTAGTAAGTATGATAGATAACGTCATGGAAACTACTATATGATACAATATTGTTTGGGCCTTAGGGTTGCGGGTCAGGGGTAAGCTCATGTGTGTACATTGGGGTTGTTCGAACGTTATCAAGAGAATATGGCAGCGCGGTGCTTGTGGGGAATATGGAAACTACTGCATTGTCGGACGGCGAAGTTCGTTACTCGCAGGGAACGTGGGAAGGAATCCTAAGAGCAGCGCCTGTAGAACTCATTCCACGCTTACCATCAGCAAGTTTCGCTTGTAGGGCTTATTGATGTCTAGAACTCTACTCTACTTGGGTCAAATTGAGCCTGCTGTTGGGCAGGGGGATCTCTTTTCATGGTTGAGGTTCGAGGGATGATGTTGCGGAATTAAACAACCAGATAGGAGCCACGAACCCGAATGCAGACACGTGTCACGTACATGCAACTATAATAACACCCCACGGGCGAAATCACTTAGGAGACTTAGGTCCGGGGTCATCCCTTTCTCCTCTTTCTCCTCCTCTCTCTTTTCTCCTCTCTCCTCTCTCTCCTCTCTTCCCTCCTCT